CCCTCCCCTTTTCTCTCTCTACCCCTTTTACTGTAAATCATTTCTTCCATTTGTATTATCTTGTCTTACCCCTCCATTCCTCTTATATGACATTTTGTATATTATGTAGGTATCCAGACTGTGGGGAGCTCGCCCCGGGAAGTGTACTGAAGGAGCCTCATCTCAACCTGGCGCAGATGAGGAAACCTCAGACCTGCAGAGAATACCACAGCTGGAGGAGACTCGGAGCTCCAGGGGTGGGGTGAGGAGTTTTGCCTGTGAGGGGAAAGCGAACGCTGGTGATCAGGTGGGCGGTGGTGTAGACTGAGAAGGAGTAGCCGTGGTGTTTTCCTGACTCTYCCATCAAGAGGTGGACATGTGAATGTCCGAGAGTAAATTCCACCTTCATGTAAAGCGATCAAATGTAATTTTAAAAACCATAAATAAATAGAAGAAAGGCCCGCAGAGGAGTGGAAGGGGAACAGGGGGAGGGTAGAGGAGACGTACTGGGGCCTGAAGTGGAGCCACTGCCTTCTATGCTTGTGTGATTGTGTCAAGATGACCCAACATGGTGTAAAACTCTAAAGCACACACAAAAAAGCCGCGTCCATCCTCCCTTGCCATGCCCTGTCCCTTTCATGTAGACTGGATTTGTGGCACACAGCTGTGGTGACGTCATATTCCTCCTGTCTGGGCCTCAGGAGACATCATGGTCCCTGCCTCTTGCTGTCCTAATGTGAGAAGTGAACGCACAACAGAAACCGCTTGGCTTAAGCCACCAAATTCTGGTGTGGTTTGTTATGGCCCCAAAGTAACTAATACGAGCTCTTGATGCAGATTCGTCACAGGCGTGATATCTGTTTAGAAAAGTCTCCCGACCCTAACAGTGGTCCACTTTGTGCTTTGAGTAGCCCTTGCTGCTCTGCCACGAGACTTCTTTTAAAATGGACGTGTTTCTTTCTCTGCCTCTCTCCTGCCACCTCCTTAATCTTCTCCCCCTCCCTAACCSCAGGGGAACTGGACTACCCTTCTTCCCCATCCCAGGCAAGTTATCTGTTCTTGAGCACACACCCCTCCCAGGAATGAAGACTTGGAAATGGCAGCAGAAGATCTAAGAAATGACTATCTCCCAAATTAACAAATGGGTTGTGACTCCCTACATGGAATGTAGCCTTGGAGTTACCTCTTTAGAAGCTCCCTGTTCTCCCTGATTGGCAGAATCAGAGCTTTTGGGACAGGAGTCCCCTTTGTTTCTCCTTTGCTAGCAAAGCAATAAAACTTCATTTTTCTTTTTCTCCAAACTGTGTCCTTGCTGGGCGCAGTGGCCCGCRCCTGTGATCCCAGCATATAGGAGGCTGAGTCAGGAGGATGGCAAGTTCAAGGCCAGCCTCAGCAATTTAGCAAAATCCTAAGCAATTTAGCAAGACCTGTCTCAAAATAAAACAAATAAAGAAAGGGCAGGGAATGCGGCTGAGTGATTGGGTTTAATCCCCAGCTTTAGAAATAGTTGGGTGGCACAAGGGATCAAACACATGTTTGGAAGCAGTTCTGCAAGACTTTACTTTTGCAGAAGTGCGCGCGACCTCACAAAACCTGGGGAGCAGCACACTTGGGCCAGCAGTTCATCTGCTTTCATCTCTAAGGCCCCACTGCCGCTTGCTCGGATTGGAGGTTGCAGTCTGCAGTGACTGGCTAATTTYAAAGTGGGGGGATTGTGGCAAAGGGAAGGGCTGTAGTTAAAATGGCTACAAATGGATGCAGGATGGGAAGCTCAGAATGGCTTCKACTGGCTCTTACATCCCAGTTAAGGCTACATACTCTATTTCTCTCACGTTGGTACAAAAAAAAAAAAAAGTGTCCTCCTTATTGGATTGGCACTGGGGACAAGGACTGAACTTTTGATAACACAACTACTTTGGAAATCTGAGGTAGTATCATTAAAAGCTGGCCATTTAGGTATTATTTAGAAGCTTTGCTTCTAGATATAAACACTATAAATATGTAYATGTTCTCCCCAAAACACATGTAAAATAATGTCTATAGCAACATATTTATAATAGTACCAAATTCCATCAGTGGTAGAATACATAAATCCATTGTGATACACAACATACAGGACAAAAATGAGAAACGACTTCTCTAAGAACTACAGAGATAAATCTGAAACATAGTATCCAGTAAAAAACAAAAGGCAAAGGCAAAGGCTAAAGAAAACTATTGTATCACTAGCATCCACTACAGTGAGTATCTTTGCAAGGAAGGACACAGTAGTGACTAGGAAGGGGCCTGTGTCGTCTTCTGGACAGTGGGGAGGTTATGGGTCAGGGTTACAGGTGTGCTCATTTTGTGATAACCTTTCAATTTTAAACTTATCACGTTTGTACTTATCTGTATGTCTCATGTACTTAAATACAAACATTTCTTTCTTTTCTTTATTTTTCTTTTAAAGAGGAATTCCAAAAGGAATTTGAGAAAGTAGAAGTTAGGGATCTCCCACCCCCCAAATCTGGGATGCTCCAATGTATGCACCACAGTGTCTGCAGGAGAAAATTCATTTTTATTTTGTCAAATATTTTCTCTGTGACAGCTCTGATTACCCTTTGACAAACTTTTCTCTCTTGAATCCTGTTTTTATTTCAATAATATTTATCAACCATGATTAGCATTGTTTAATAGTTTTTATATTATGAATTTCAGGAGAAGAAAACACATGTGTCACAGATAATTTTGTATTGAATCATCTTGCAGCCAGAGAAAAAAGTGGTGGGAGGAAACTACAGAAGATGAAGAGGAAATAGGCTGGAGTCTGATTATGAAATAGCTTGAAGGTATGCAGGATTTCACACTATACTTTTATGCAATAGTTTTAAAAAAAGCACAAAATCTATCTGTATTTTACAAAGATAATGAGATATCCCTACTTCAAATGGCATAATAAGAGAGTTCTTCTCTGGTCTCTAAAAATGTATGCAAGCAAAAATAGAAAGAGTTGGGTGTGGTGGTCAACACTTGTAATCTCAGGGAGTAGGGAGGCTGGGGCAGGAAGATCCCAAATTCGAGGCCAGCCTCAGCAACTTAACATGACTCAGCAACTTAGAGAGACCCTGTCTCAAAAAACAAAACAAAACAAAAGCAACAAACAAACAACAACAACAACAAACAGGGAATGCAAACAGCTCAATCCCCCCACCCACCACACAAAAGGAAAAGAAAAGGAAACTGCATATTTAAATAAACCAGGGACAGCTATAATGCTGAGCCACACTATATGAGGCAGGGTGGCTAAATTCAGTGCTGGTGAAATACGGGCTAGGATGTCAAGAGAGTCTTGAGATTTCTCAGAATGTCAGCAGAGCAAAATCAGAGATGCCTCATTTGGAACAAAGGGAAACGCCCTCCATATTTGCAGGAAGCAGTTTGCCAGTGAAGAGGAATGGCAGAGGGAAGTTCTGGATTACAGGCACTACCCAAGTCACAGTCTGAACGGCCTGGGAGGAGAAATAGACACTAAAACTAGCAAACAAGCTAGAAAACCCCAAAGCCCTGGGTCAAGTGATGACTAAACTGGATACTCTGGAAGTCTCCCATGACACTTCTTCAGTCATATATTATCAGAAGAACTGGAGCTTTCAACAGTGACTAAGGCCAAATCAGTAATTTGTAACTTCTTACTTGTCACACTTTGTAGTAAACAGTCACCGTAATTGTACAATGGAAGAACAAGGGAAGGAGGAAAATATAAAGAGTGGTTAAAAAAAAATATAAAGAGTGGGTTAAAAAAAAAAAAAAACTCTCATTAGAAAAAGTCACCTCAGAGCAACTGACAATTGTGGCCAAACCCCACCATTAAGAAACTAAAAAAGAAAATGAATTACTGCTTGATTCAAGTGTGTGTGTCTAAAACAGGCGCTCAAAGAAAAGATACAGAAGTTTCAAGAAAAATAGAGTAGGGCAACCAGGGAAGAAACAAACTATCAGATTAAAGGGATAGAGAATGAAATAAATAGTTACTGTTAAAGAAAGAAAAGCCTCACATTGGAGAGAAGGATCTACAGCAGACAAAGGATGTTTAGTGCATAAGTAGATTAAGCAAGCAAGCAAACAAACAAACAAAAAAGGAATAATCCCAGTGGCTTGGGAGGCTGAGGCAGGAGGATCGAAAGTTCAAAGTCAGCCTCAGCAACCTAATAAGGCCATAGCAACTTATCAAGACCCTGTCTCTAAATAAAAAAAAATAAGGGCTGAGGATGTAGCTCAGGGTCAAGTGCCCCTGGAGTCAAGCCCTGGAAACCCCCCCCCCCCAAAAAAAAAAGAGTGAAATAGGAAAATATTTTCTTTAAAATAATGGACAAGAAAAAAATATTTGAAGATATTTAAATGACTAGGAGACATTTCCAGGACTGAAGGAAAAGTTGGATGTGTGTTTTTTTTTTTTTCCAGAGAAGGAGATTCTGACTACTGGAGACATGAATCTACAGTTTGATAGGAAGAAAAATTTGAGAGACTCATCCACAGCAATACACACTTTGGTAAAGTTACGTGTGAACATAGTTAGAGCGAGAGTAGATTTTTAAATGTTCTCATCAGAAAAAGGGATAAGTATGTGCACTATAGGTTTATTAATTAGTTTGATTTAATCATTTTGTGATAATACGTATATTAAAAATCACATAAATGTATGCAATTTTTTATGTATCAACTAAAATAATAATAAAAAGTAAAAAAAAAATGAGTCTTTGGCATTTTGGTGGGGAGGAAAAACTTAAGCCCCCTGACAGTGGGGAGGAAGGTTGGGCTGGCCTCGGGGTCTTCCTGGGAACATTCCGTGTTTGTCCACAGAGCCCTGGGGAAGGACGGGGAAGGACGCGAGACTCCAGCACCTTCTCCCCAGCTACAGTTTTCAGACATAAGGGCAGCTCACCAACATTTTTGGGTAATCCAGGATGCAAGGACGATGACTTCCATGAGCACTTTTTAAACATCTGTAAAACAAACATTAGCCAAATTAAAGCCCTATGGAAAAGTAACAGTATGACTGTGGCTCCAACTTGTAGGATTAATGCAAAAACAGGTCTTGTTTTATGGTTGAGGAGGGAAAATAAAAGCTATAAACACAAATGATGTAGCTATCCCAAGTTAGGAGGGTGAGGTGGGGGGAAGGCATGGGGGGGTCTCAACAGTTAAAGACATGATTCAAATCTGGTTTAACAGTTTAACAATAAATCGATGTCAGATGTAGTTAAAAAACAAAAAAAGAGTGAAGGAAAAGTTGGATGTGTGTTTTTTCCAGAGAAGGAGATACTGACTACATATAACAAAATAAACAAAAATCAGCATTGGAGAGTGGAATAAAAGAGAAATATACTGCCGGTTGCACACCTGTGATCCCAGTGACCTGGGATCCTGCAGAGGATTACAAGTCCAAAGCCAGCTGCAGCACTTTAGCGACACCTTGTCTCAAAATAAAAATAAAAAGGACTGGGGATGTAGCTCAATGGGAAAGCACCTCCGGGTTCAATCCCCAGGACAAAAAAAAAAAAAAAAAAGGAAATGTATTTAATTTTATTATTACTCATAATGGGAGTCCAGAGTACTCCTATTACAAAGTAGATGATGAGGTAAATTACATAAGCTTAGAGTACAAGTATTTTATAACTGCCTTTAAAATGCAGAACTAGGTGCCTGGGAGAGAAGAGAGAGGCCTGTGTTTCACTGCATTCTCTTCTGTACCTTTTTTTTTTTTTAAGAGAGAGAGAGAGAGAGAGAATTTTTAATATTTATTTTTTAGTATTTGGCGGACACAACATCTTTGTCTGCATGTGGTGCTGAGGATCGAACCCGGGCCGCACGCATGCCAGGCGAGCGCGCTACCGCTTGAGCCACATCCCCAGCCCCTCTTCTGTACCTTTTGAGTTTGTGCCATGTTATACGTTAGCTATTAAAAAACCAGAAGAAAAGGCAAATAAAAACTAACAAGAAAGATAAAATATGGTAATGAATATAATCATGACTAGAACAAAAGCATCGTGTTTTTCAATTCTTATAATACACACCAAAAATGTAAAGAAATTTTAAAAATATTCTATTTGAGGTGCTGGGAATTGACCCAGGGCCTTCTTATGTGTGCTGGGCAAGTGTGTACACCACTGAGCTTCATCCCCAGCCCGCCAGTGTTTTTAAGGCCATGAAAATGTTGAGAATAGAGCAAAACAGGATGATAGAACTGAGACCAAACGTACCTCCCATGTTAATAAATGTAGGTGTGTTAATTTCACTTATAACAATAAAAGACTTTGAATTACAATGTAAAACCCAACTCAGTTGTTCGTAAGAAACAGTTGAAAACAGAGTGAACCAGAAAAGTAGGGAATTCACACTTGGCAATGGCATCAAGCTAGGATTAACCAGTGCAAGGCTACATCCACGTGGTAAAAGGTAAGTGCTACCATTTGTGCAAAAAGGTTTGAAGACAATAGCTGTGTAAATGCTTCAGATGCATAGCCACCTGTTAATAGTTTGGTATTTGTACCAAGTACACATGTTACACACCTTAAAGTACAGGCAAATAATTTAATAAAAAAAGGATAATGTTGGCAGTAGAGTGGACCGTGGGTTTGACAGATGATACAAGAGACAGGAAGACTAGGTAGAGTCATCCCTTGTGTTCAAGAAGTATTGGTTCCAGAACGCCCCCATGGATACCCAACCTGAATACCTCAATTTCTTATATAAAATGGCATATAGTTTGCATGTAACATAGGTACATTGATTGTACTTTAAATCATCTCTGGATTACTAATCTAATAATACCTAATGCAATGTAAATAGGTGTTATTCTATATTGTTTAGGGAATAATGGCAAGAAGAAAAGTTCATACATGTTTAGTACAGATGCATTTTTTGTCCCAAATATTTTTCATCTAGGGTTGTTTGAACATGTGGATGCAAAACCAGTGGATATTGAGGACTGAGTGTATCGCATTGCATAAATTTAAAAGAATCTGAGCTACAACATGGCAGGTAGTAGTAAGAATTGGGCCTTTCTCCAAGAAACTGTTAGAAGTAACATAATAATAAGCTATTGTCTTATTTTAAACTTCATTTTGTATTTTTCCGTTGAGACAAAGAAGTATTTTACAAAAATCTTAAGAATCACAGCCTTAGGTTTCAAAAAACAAGTATTCTTTGTTTTCCCATTGTTATATAAACATATTCATAGTAGAAAACCTGAAAAACATACAAAAGAAAAAAAAGTGTTAGATTTCTGTTACTGTAACAAAATGCCTGAGATAATTAATAAAGAGGAAAGGTTTGTTTTGGCTCATAATGTTAGAAGTTTCTGCCTATGACTGGCCCTATGGTCAATTGCTTTGGTCCTGTGGTAGCAGATACATCATGGTGGGAGTATATGGTGGAGGACTCTCCACATGACTGAGTGAGGAAGAAGAAAGGGCCTGGGCGCCAGAATTTCCTTCAAAGGCATTCCCACAATGACTTCCGACCTCCCTCTCGGCCCTGCTTCTCAAGTGTTCCACCATCTCCCAGCAGCACCACAGGCTGGGGACAGGACTTTAACATGCAACTTTGGAGTCACTTATCCAAATCATCACAGAAAAAGAAGTATTTCTTTAATTCTAATACTCTAGGTTAGTAGCCAAGGATAGCATTCTGTCTAGATTCCTCCGTTCTGTTCTCTCCCCGTATACACAGTCACGTTTTTTGACATAATTTTTAGCTTTTAAAAAGCTTGTTTGTATGTTTCCCATGTTATTGCAAAATATTCTCTTACACTGTGATCACTTAATGATCACACATTACAGTTCTTTATTATTGGATATTTAGTTTCTAATTCTTCACTTATAAATAACAATTACAATGAATTAGCTTTGTGAATATAAATATAGCCACATTTCTGGTTATTTCCTTATTACATGGTTCTGGAAATAGAATTGCTGGTACAAAGGGTATACATATTTTTAAGAATTTGATACTTACTCCAAATTGCCTTCCAAAAAGTCTGTACTGATGTTATAGCTCTGGCACTAAAGCCGTAGTTGTGAAAATAGATAATTATAAAGACCCACTTCTTGTTTTCGGAAATCCCCCTACATGGCATTACTGTATTTTTTCATCCTTATAAATTTGCATGGTGAAAAAAAGATGCTTCATTGTTATTTATATTTGGATCTCTTCAATTAGGATAGAGCTGGGATTCTTCTGTGCATCTCCCCCACCCCGCCCCCTTTGGTCATTTGTAATTCCTGCTTTGTTAATTACTGTTCACTCTCTGGCTGTTTTTCTTTGCTTCATCATATTGTGGAGGCAGATATTTCAGTACTGAATGCCACGAACCTTCAAGCTTCAGGAAGTACCTAGATTGTATTTCATTTCAGTCTCAGCTTTGGAAGTGTGCTGAGGGAAAACTGCCCAAGCTTGCCTTTCAATTTTCTTTCCTTAAAGAGATTCTGAAATAACAAAAACCAGATTTGGTTCCCTTCAGTATCCATGGGCCTCAGAGGGAAATTCTCTCATCCTGGGAAGGGAGAGCGATTACAGGGGAGTGTGGCCTGCTCCGCGTCCTTCTCCTGGGGCTCTCTTTGCACAATTTCTGCTCTGAGAGTGGGGGTCAGACTGTCCTGGTGACCGAATCCTGGTGCCCAGTGTAGAGCGGCTCTCCTCCTCCCCCGTGGTGCTGGAGTAGATGAGCGCCTGAGTACATTCCTTTTTAAGGATGCAGAAAACGTAGACTGCTGGCTTCGGTTTAGTCCAGGCGTCGATGCACAGCCAGAAGTGACTTTCAGAGTGAGAGCCAACCACAGCTCGTTGACGGGACTCGGTTCTTTGTATCTCTTGTTCTTCTTCTGTGTGATTCARTTGGCTTGCAGGTGTTTAACAAATTATTGATAAATGCAGATTGATAATAAGTATCATTGCCATTTGATAATTCTCATAAACATGTGCATTAGTCAGCTTTCTGTCACTGTGACAAATACCTGAGAAGAACAACTTAGAAGAGGAAAGATTCATTTAGGCTCCCAGTTCCAGAGGTTCCAGTCCACGGTTGGACAACGCCATGGCTTTGGTCCTGAAGAGAGGCAGAAGATCATGGTGGAGGGGTGTGCAGAGCAAAGCTGCTCAACTCATAGCAGCCAGGAAAGAGAGAGAAAGGGACTTTGGACAAGAAATACCCTTCCAGGGCACTCCCCACCCCCCAGGGGACCTACTTCCTCCAACTTGGCCCCACTCCCCCAGCCTCCCCCACCACTAGTAGTCCACTCGGCTGTCGATGGGTTCATCCACTGATGAGTCAGACCAGTYGAAGTCCAGGCCCTCCCCGGAGCCCCACCTCTGAACACTGCTGCAGGGGGGACCCAGCCTGCAGCACAGGAGTCTTCCAGAGACACTTCATGGATAAGCCATAACATAACGTTGTAGGGATTCCTCATTATTCTTCTCACTTTACCGACAGGGAAAGGGTGGCCCAAGACGTGTCCAAGCTCGTACAGCGAGCAAGCAGCAGAGCCAGATCCAGACCAAGCCTGGGACTTCAAACCCATGCCGTCTCTCAAGACTATGCCATGTTGGGTGACCTTCTTGT